CTTAGGAGTTTTAGTTTAAAGAAAACATTTACCCAGAGTAGTAGAAATTTATCCTGACAGGAATTTAAAAGACTCAAAGTGTCAAACTAACATCATACGTACTTCATATGAATTTGGAGTTATTTTCAGTCTATTGTTCTAATTTTAAGTGGCCTCATTTACTAAACTTAAGTTAGCTAAAGGTGTTATGTTTTTAACATGTTGTAAAAGCAGCCATCTCTCTTCTTTTATTCCAGGAGGATACTTTTGAATAACCCTAAGAAAAGGAATGCTCTGTCTCTGTCCATGCTGGAATCACTCAGAGAGAACATCCTGACTGATGCTGACAGCGAGGATCTCAGAGTTATTATCATATCTGGTCAGTTATATGATGTGCAAAAAACTAATAGTGTAAAACTTTGATCCATCTCTGTGATGTGTGCGTTTCCAGCCAAAGGTCCGGTGTTTTCGTCTGGACATGACTTGAGGGAGTTGACATCAGCTCAGGGTCGAGAGCATCATACGAAGGTGTTTGATACCTGCACAAAGGTAAGACTGGGACTTCTTCAGCAGCTTCAACACATACTAGATAATTAAAAAAAAATCTCCTTCCTTTCCTGCAGACATCTTGAATCTGGCTTTTGGGTTTCAGGTGATGACTCTGATTCAAGACATACCGGTTCCGGTGATCGCCATGGTAAACGGGATCGCCACGGCAGCCGGTTGCCAGCTTGTTGCCAGCTGTGACGTTGTCGTGGCGACAGAGACGTCCAGCTTCGGCACTCCGGGGATTAACATGGGTCTGTTCTGCTCCACGCCGGCAGTGGCTATCGGCAGAGCGGTGCCAAGAAAGGTAATTAGGTATTAAATTCCATAAATGACTAATATAAGTAAAGTTAATTGATAAAATCTGGCATTAAACGTGAGTTATTCCGGTCCCCACCTTCCTTTTTCAAATAAAGGTTGCCATGGAGATGCTGTTGACAGGAACTCCCATCTCGGCTCAGGATGCTCTGCTGCACGGGCTGATAAGTAAGGTGGTGCCGGAGCAGCGACTGGAGGAGGAGACGTTAGCCATCGCCCGGAAAGTGTGTCAAAGCAGTCGAGCTGTTGTGGCTCTGGGCAAAGCCACGTTTCAAAGGTAAGAGTTGGCTCAGCTTTTACCCTCTTACTGTTTTACTGAATTCCTAAAAACACAGTTTGTTGTTCTGACCTTTCTTCCTTAAGTGTTTAAAAAAAATAACATTTTGTTTCTTGTGTTTTGACCTGTTTTTTTTTAATTTATTGCGCCATAGACAAATGGCTCAAGGCAGAGATGCAGCGTATGCTACAGCCTCCAGGGTGATGGTGGATAATCTGGCTCTGAGAGATGGCCAGGAAGGGATCCGGGCCTTCATTGAAAAGCGCCGACCCGAGTGGAGCCACACAGCTGAAAAAGCTCATGACTGATCTATGCTTGGAGAGGCCATGATTTATTGATTGAAGATTAAAAGGGCAACTGAACCACTGTATCTAATAAACCATGGCAATGACCAGAGGATCCCCACAGAGGGGTAGTTCAGTAGACTTATAC